CTAATGTCGGGTCAAGTCTGGACTGTTTCTGAGATGTAGCTGTGGTCTGACAACCCATCGCTATATATATATATATATATATATATATATATATATATATATATATATATATATATGTATATATGTATGTATGTATGTATGTATGTATGTGTATGTATGTATGTATGTATGTATATTCAGTTTCTGCGCTTTATATAGCGCTTTTGCATATCTGGCAGTGCCTTGCCAAAGCTGAACTTTCACTTAACGCGGATTTTTTCCAAAAATATACGCGGTGAGTGTCCGAGACGCTATTTTTAGATTTGCCCCACCCGCCACCCTGCCTGACTGCCTGTTTTAGCTCATAAAATTCATACAAATTACCAGGCCAGAATATAATTTACATTGCTGGAATTCTTATAATTTGGTGATCATTTTGAATATAAACATCATTTATTTTGCTTTAAACTTACAATTTTTAGATTAAAATTTTTCTCTAGGTAACTATGGTATCTTTTGTCCAAAATATATGACATTTATATTCAAAATATTCCTGGTCTTACAAGGAATCCAGCAATGTCAATTATATTATCCTAACTTTAGTTTGAGGTATTATTTATTAAAATTTAGTGGTTATCCCACACATCTCCTTGGGACGGTTGGTGGGGGGTGGGGGGGAGGGAGGGACCGACCGACCATCTGTTACCCTGTGAAGAATTATTTTTTTTTTTATTAACTGAAGATATTTGTTTTAGCTCATAAAATTCATACAAATTACCCGGTCAGAATATAATTTACATTGCTGGAATTCTTATAATTTGGTGATCATTTTGAATATAAACAACATATATTTTGCATTAAACATACAATTTTAGATAAAAATTGTTCTCAAATTAACTGTTATCTTTTGTCCAAAATATATGACATTTATATTCAAAATATTCCTGGTCTTACAAGGAATCCAGCAATGTCAATTATATTATCCTAACTTTAATCTGAGGTATTATTTAATACTAAATGTTAAAAACTCTGGGAGGGAGGATTGGTGGGGGGTGGGGGGAGGGTTGGGACTGACCGCGCGGTTGGAAGAGGGGGGGAGGCAAGGTGGGGTACTTTGATTGACAGATAGTGTTGTGAAGATTATTATTTTTTTTATTAACTGAAGATATTTGTTTTAGCTCATAAAATTCATACAAATTACCCGGTCAGAATATAATTTACATTGCTGGAATTCTTATAATTTGGTGATCATTTTGAATATAAACATCATATATTTTGCTTTAAACTTACAATTTTTAGATAAAAATTGTTCTCTAGGTAACTATGTTATCTTTTGTCCAAAATATATGACATTTATATTCAAAATATTCCTGGTCTTACAAGGAATCCAGCAATGTCAATTATATTTTCCTAACTTTAGTTTGAGGTTATCCCACACATCTCCTTGGGACGGTTGGTGGGGGGTGGGGGGGGGAGGGAGGGACCGACCGACCATCTGTTAGCCGGCTGTGTAGTGTGAGAGGGAGGGAGTTGAGTCCATTATTTGAATGGACATTAACTTGGCGACTGTATTTCTCTATTTCTCTTAAGTATTAATTGTGTGCATGTACCATCATAAAATTAAGATGTTATTTTTACTACAACATAGTTATTTGTCGTCAAAAAGTGGAGTTTGGGGGTCGGGCTGGGTTCTATTGGAATTAATCCCATATGTTCTGTTATTCACTTAACGCGGTTTTCACTTAACGCGGGACCCTCTGGGTTCAATGACCGCGTTAAGTGGGGTACAACTGTATATATATATATATATATATATATATATATATATATATATATATATATATATATATATATATATATATATATATATATATATATATATATATATATATATATATATATATATATATATATATATATATATATATATATATATATATATATATATATATATATATATATATATATATTTCAAGTAAATGAAAAAATTTTACTCGACACAGACATTAGTTCCAGATACCGGTAAATAGCAGACGCTTCAGTGACGTCACTAGTGTTTACACTACACCAGCGGGTAACATTTGATGACATTACTTGAAGTGAATTGGCCTTATTTTAAAAAAACCAAGGATGGTTGGTAAAGGACTACTGAGTCAGTGGGTAAGTGTCACATTTGGGGTACTGGTCTTATACAGCGAATAGAGCTCAAAAGCTACTTTTTAAATGGAAATTTGGGGGGGCCGTCTTATGCACCCCGACGCATTATAGGCCGAGATATACGGTAGTCGCACGAAAAAATTGTCAAATTACGTATTTTCGAGTCCCGACGTTAGTGATTGCGTTGAGTACTGACAAAATTTTTGTTTGTAATTCCCTTTAAATTGGAAGGCAAGCTTAAAAGTGAGAGTTTTGTGGTGCTGAGAAGAAAAGGAGATACCCATTTTAGATTTTCTAGGTATTATTTTCGCATTTTCGACTTACGACCTGGATTTGGGTCCCTAACCCAGTCGTAAGTCGGGGACTGCCTGTATTCTCGATTTAACGGAACCCAATATAAAGAACTCTTGATTTAGTGGAAGGCATTTTCCCGTTATTCCGCTCGATTTAGTGAACTAGTTTGCAAAATCGAGATTAATTCTGTCAATAAGCTCACACCTACGGAGACACCTCAGACACATGATATGTACATGGAACCATTAGAAACATTATTCATGGTTTACCTTAAACTAAGGGGTTTGGTGTTTGTTTTAAACTTTTGTTTATTATTTCCAAACCTTTTTCCAATTGATAGCCAAACTCTTTTAACTTTCTCCCCCACACCACCTCCTTTCTGAGACTTCTGAGAGATTTTTGGCATGATGTCTAAGCACAGTAGTTAGTTGACCGAGAGGTAGCGGTGAACAACACACACGGTGGTGGCAGGACACACTCCGAACAGATGTAAACAAACCCCAAGCACCAAATGGTGCATTTGGCGTGAGATTGAATGGATCATGCTTGATTTAGTGAACTAGTTCGCTAAATGAAGCGAAAATAACAGAAATTCGATGTAGTGGAAATTTTGGTTTAACAGAAAGGCGGTGGTTTGAATTCGTTTGTTAAATCGAGAAAATAATGTATGTACTTAAAATTCATTCATCATTGCATTGTACTGTATATTTAATATTCATCTTCTGGAAACCTTTACTCCTAGAACAATCACATTAATAATGGTGTACCTGTATTATGAATCACCAATACTCAGACCATTATGATACTGTACTGAAATAAGGTAAGAAATAAATGTAGTAATACAATACTAAATTATAGTTTACCAAACTGAGTTCTTTTCATAAAAGTTAACTTAAAAAAAGTGCTGTAATGAAATGTGCATGTTACTTACCCGTCCCATCTTGCTAGAGAGACAATTGGTCCCTCACCTACATTAATTTTACGGGAGGATACAAAAGCCATTGCATCTGTGTCAAAAATTCGAATCGTTTGGTTTCTGAGGCCCATCATAACCTGCAGAATCAGATTTAAAAATTAGAATAAAAAATGAGAGGAAAACTTACTCTGATTACAAATATTTATGTCATTTAATACAGCTACAAATACTATACAGCATGCCCTTAAAATTCACAGGGGTTTGGGTCCTTCTGCGAGTCATGCCAACACTATTTTAAATGATATGTGTTTTTTGTGTGGCAGCATGGAGTCAGAATGAATTCACAGCCTAATACTTTTCTCACTGAATCCAAGTGACAGGTAACTTTTCCACCAAACCTGCATGGACACTCCCATTTTCTGAAGGGAATAATAGAACAACCTGAACTCTAATTGAATTCATTGGTGTTCTGAATGTAATGTTTCCACCAAACCCACAATCTTCCTCACGGGCAGACATACAGGGCCATTCCTCATTTTCTAATAAGTTAAAACAATAAAGGATTTTACTCAGTATTAGTTACTCACCTCTGTTTGTGCTTCCTCACCCCATGCTATAGAGGTGATCTCTTGGTCACTTTCCAAAGCTTTAATTTTATGGAAATTTTTGTGGATTACAGCCTTCTGGTTTAGATTTACACCTGTGGATATAAAACAATATATTACTAGAACTGTACTAGGTAGTATGAGGTAATCCATAAACAAACAGATACCATTGCTTCAGTAAAGTACACAGCTTCACTTTGTTTTTCACTGGCAATCGACAATGGGCTAAACAGTCTTTGTTGTCTACACTTGCTGTCCATTATAGTTTTACACTCACAAAAGTTGCGAACAATCGCTACAAGTTACAGAATCCCTGAAAGATGTCTATTATTATCAAAGGCACAAAATAAAGTCACCTAATTTTCCAACCTAGGTAGTACCTAACCTTGTCACAACCAAGCCAATGAGAGTTTTCTTTTGATTTTCATTTTGATTTGAATGAAAATGGCCTTTATTTCCTGCTCTAATACTTAATTTAGGCAGTAAGACCATGATTTGCATAAAGTAGACACAGCTTTGAAGACGAGGGAAAATGTAGGCGTTAAAAAAATACTATTTTGCCGGTCCATTGTTTATGCAATAAAAGGTAATGACATGGAGTTATAGTATTTATTGTAGTATGCATATAAAAACATGACCTATGAAGATATGCACACTTAGTTGTCCAAGTAATGCATGCAGTATTTGCACACTTTAGTTAAAAATGTAAAATGACCAACAGGTGGTACACGGTCCACTGAAGAAAACCCACAGGTAGCGCTGGGGAGGTTAAACTTCAGGTGCTATACAGTGGGGAGGGGGGGGGCAATCTTTACATGACGACTGTAACCTGAAGAATGCCCCCAGGTAGTGTTGGGGGCGACTCTTCAGGTGAGTACTGAGATCCATGCACTTGTCTTTAATTTACTTTATCCTCTTTGCCAAAACTCTTCAGTGGAACAGTACAGTACGTATGTGGATATTTGTAGTTTAAGATCAATTATTTCTTAATTGTTACTTTAATTACAACGTGGATCAGGCAGGGAAGAGATTTGACGTAAAGTGTGCAAATACCGCAAACCCTATTTTCACTAAAGTGTGTAAATACTGTACAGGTGTAATCACTTCATAAAAATAATAAATAAAACAAAATAAAAAATATTGCATTGCCATTTGGCAATTTTCACTATACACGGGACACAAGACAGCTAAGAGATCTCCCCCCCCCACCTTTAAGTGTTAAATTCTGGGCACGATTGTGTGTGCATGTAAACGAAAAAAAAATTACCTATAGCTACCCAAAATTATTACAGGCAGTCCCTGACTTACGACGGGGTTAGGGACCCAAATCCAGGTCATAAGTCGAAAATGCTAAAATAATACATAGAAAATCTAAAATGGGTGTCTTTTTTCCTTCTCAACACCACAAAACTCTCACTTTTAAGCTTGTCAGCCATTTTAAAGGGAATTACAAACCAAAATTTTGTCAGTACACAATGCAATCACTAACGTCGGGACTCGAAAATACGTAATTTGAAAAAAAATTTGGTACGACTGCGGCGGTCGTATGTCCGGGTGGTCGTAAGTTGAGTCGGTCATGAGTCGAGGAGTACCTGTACATTGGATCAACAAAACAGCCTGTCAGGCTATTTTGCTTTGACTGATAATGCAGCCTACAGGTAGTTCTCCTATAACACGATAATTGTGTTCATGTAAAATATCGTGTTATAGAAAATCGCGTAATAGAAATAACAGGGCTTATGGAGAAAATAGGGTTAGGTGCAGATTACACGAAATCGAAAAAAAATTAGTAGTTAGCCTAACACAAAGGATAGCACAGTCTAAATAAATGTTACATTCATATCTAATAATGAAATAATACAGTAAATGTAACACTTTACCTTGAAAAAATATGAATATAACTTGATGAGGGAGAAGGGTGATTTTGAGGTTGATAACACCGAGCTTCTCTTCAAGTGTTATATCCTTTCTTTTACGATCATCACCGGGAATTCTATCACCAGAATGCTTCTTGTTGATATTCTTCTTTACTATATTCACAGTTAATACAGTGGGATATGCTATAACGAATGGATCCTACTACGAATATTCCTATAACGAACGGTTTTACCTATAAAATTGAGAATGCTATAACGAACGAAACTCCTACAACGAACATTATTTAATTTTTTTTTCTAATTTATTGTTTTTTTATTACAAACATTAATGATATTCTTTATTTCAGGGGTTTAGATGCATATTTATGCACTTTTTTACAATTTTTACAATTTTATATTATATTTTTCAGTGTTAAGTGGTTGTATTTGGGGGCCTGGAACGGATTAATCCTATAACGAACGAATGCTATAACGAACAAGGTTCTAGAACCAATTAGATTCGTTATAGCATACCCCACTGTACCACAAAATTGGAGAAATAGTAAGCAAAAATCGTGTTATAGCAAACAAACGTTCGCGTCATACAAATATCGTTCCTAATTCATAAATCGCGTTAGAGCAAATTCGCGTTATCAAAACGCGTTATAGCAGAACTCACTGTATTTGCAAAAAAAAATAAATAAATAAATAAAAATAAAATTAAATAAACCTGGCCTAACATTTCCCAACATGCAACAAATTCTAAAACAGATATCCCCCATATGAACATTCTAGATACGAAAATTCACTTTTATAAATTTTATAAATTGACACCACCTTGTGAGACAAGTTTATATGAATTTGAGTCAGGGCAAAAATTCAAATCGGGCACTGAGTTAGCTGGTGCGGCCATCTTGGGGAGAGATGCACAGAGTAAGGCCATTACTGAGCCCACCCCCTTGTGGTGGTGAGCCCAAACTGCCCTCCCATAAGGTAATGTACCGAAGTAATACAGTATTTTCTTAATTATTTTCATGTGTACAGTTTGTCGGAGAAGGCAGGCAGTGGTACAATGAGGGAGGAGCAGTGTTGGTGATATCCTCCCTCTACTGGGCCAAGCTGTGAGTTGCATTACTGTTATTTTTCAACTCGTATTTTCTGGTAGAAACTGTTTGCATTTTTTTCACTGTTACATGCACAAACAATCTTCATACAGAATGTATGAAAAAATATCATAAGGTCAAAAGCATGAAGGAATTAATCAGTGTGTGTGTAGAAGCAAGCACTAAGGATGGGAGAGAGAGCTATGGATGGTGTTAACTTACTCATTGTTCCGCTCTCGCTGTCTCCTGCAAAATGACAATGTAGTATTTTTATTTTATTTATTATTTTTATTGATCCCTCACATTTATTGCATTGTCATTTAACAGGAGACAGCGAGAGAGCGGAACAATGAGTAAGTTAACACCATCCATAGCTCTCTCTCTCTCTCTCCCATCCTTAGTGCTTGCTTCTACACACACACTGATTAATTCCTTCATGCTTTTGACCTTATGATATTTTTTCACACATTCTGTATGAAGGCTTTGAATGTATTCAATCTCAATACATATACCAAAATTTGGAAGCTTTGACTATCTCACTTCTTGCCACGAGTCGTTGCTATCCGCCTGGGTCAGAGCCAAGCCACTCTCTGTGATGTACAGTCTCGTTCAAGATTCTTCGAACACTGCTGGAGACAGCTGGCAATTCAAGGCCGTTTGTTTACTATATAGTATATAGTATAATATAATACAAAACAACAAAGCCCAACCATCAATTAAGCAACAGAGAACTAAGTAACCAATCACCAAAAAACTTTTACATTCATTCATAATTTTTACTACATACTATAGTAAACAAACGGCCTTGAGTTGCCAGCTGTCTCCAGCAGTGTTCGAAGAATCTTGAACGAGACTGTACATCACAGAGAGTGGCTTGGCTCTGACCCAGGCGGAGCTGAGGCACTCTCTTTTTCCGTACTTAATGATTTGGAACAAATAATCAAACACCCTACACTTTTTCCTGATCGACACGATCAACTTGCTAACATTCTTGATTTTTGTTTTACCTCTAACCCCTCACACTATTCATACTCAATTTCTGCCCCCCTAGGGTCTTTTGATCACAATCTTATTTCTATTAAATCAAACTGGGCCAATCTCTTTGGCACCTTATTCTCCTCTAATTCCACCTTAGACGTTTCCTACTCTATCCCGCCTACCCCTGCTTCTCCTACTGAACCTATGCACTTTCCTATAATCTCCACTCATAGGGTTGTTGGTGTGTTATCCAGGTTAGATGTGAGTAAGGCACATGGACCATCAGGGCTGTGGAGTCGGAGTCGAGGAGTCGGAGGAAATTTCGGCTTGTGGAGTCGGAGTCGGTAAAATTGTCCATACTCCGACTCCGACTGAAGCTATTCTGTTCCTAAGAACAAATATATGAACTCAGGCATATTCATTGCAGTGATTCCACTGATCCCACAAATTTTCTTAAATTATTAAAAGAATTTATTTCCATTTTATAAGCATTATTATGAATTTATTGTAGCAGGCACAGTACAGCACTATAATTTTGGACGATAGTCTCTTCTTTACCATTTGAAATTTTGAATTATATCAAATTTTGTTTCGTTGAAAACTGCACAGAGGCTCTCAGCTACAAAACAATTAGCTACAACCTGTTTTTGGTGAGATTAAGGCAAATTTAATTTAATAACTTAATCATGTAAGGTTTATCCATTTTCCTTAATAAGGTATTCATTTCTTTAATGTACATAAATATATAACTTTACTTTAAAAGGAATTGTAGGATCATCATTTAGATCCACATCAGATTATGAGCTTAAACAAAATTCATATGCTGAGATCGAACTTTTAGATATACATGTAAATGGTGTTTTCTAGTTAATATCTTGAATTCTTAATACATTTATTTTTCTTTTGATTGAAACTTTGAAAGTCAAGCCTATCATCTTTTTGTAGTTCTTAAATATCGTCCAGATCATTAATAAAGCTGTAGCAGTATAGCCACGGTGTTTTACTTTTTACCTATGCAGGTTACAACATACAAATTACAATTAGGATGGTAGAAATAGTTGTTACAAATAGGCCAAGGAGTCGGAGTCGGAAGCATAAAAATTTGAGGAGTCGGAGTCGAAGGTTTTGTCTTCGACTCCACAGCCCTGTGGACCATAC